GTGATTGGAAACGTTCGTGCATGCATGGTGTTGCAGAAACGTCCATGGCCTCTTCGTTCCCTTTTCCCTTGTCTTCTCGAAAACACCTCTCCTCTGACTTGGAAAACCCTTTTGTCTTTCTTCTTTGTTTGTATTTGTAATCACACTGTCAAAGACTTGAAAGCAGTGCACAAAATGTGGTAATTTGTAGTTTAGTGTATGTTGTCTTGGAAATCGTTTTCTAAGATTTTAGTTCTGTAGGTTACCGGTGCATATTTAAGTTGTTTAACCGAAGTTGATGATTTAAGTTAGTCCAATATATCATCCACATGGCTACAATTATCTAAGTTATGAGGCATTCGGATGATATTTGCTCGTAACGAATTAACCTAATCGTAACCTCCTTACATGGTCTATCAAAGACATGCAAAGAAAGATGTCAATCAAATTGAAAAGGTGAGCGACGAGCAAAGTATTATCCTCATCTCGTGAGAATACATAGAATAAGTCATAGTTTCGAATGACAAAAGGGTTCCAAATGTTAAAGACTGACGTTCTCAAGCATAAACATATTAGCTAGTAGTTTTATTATAAGTTATCAAAGCTTTTCAATAACTATTTCTAAGCTCCATCCAATCTCATGTAATTCAAGGTGTTGAAATGATTAGGGTTATGAGTCCATAACTCAAAAATATTATTGTTACATAGGAGAGAAGAAATATTTTGACTAGTTTTAGTCTGAGATTCTTGATGGCTAATTCAACAACTTGAGGGCTACTTGTAAAGTAGAAAACAAGCAAAGATTATCGGCTACCATATATCCCGTTACCTATAGTTGTAGATGAAAAGAGACGACGCTACCTATTAACTTTGTCGAGTCAAAATCATTAACTAAAATATTTAAGTTAAATTTAATAATAATATATTTATTGGATCCTTATCAGCTTTACTCTTAGTCATTGCGATGTAAGACTAATCGGAATGCTACACTCAACTCTTCATGTTGATTTCTTATTAGAGTCGAATTATTTTTTCAAATCAGTGAAATAATTTTTTTTCTCACAAATAATATGAAAATGATGTGAGATCAAGCTGTGATGTTAGAATTTATCATTTAAGGGATTAATATTCTTATCTAAATCCAAGTTAATAATAATAGATTTAATTAGTCCTTATAAGTCCATTCAAAACTGATATTGATGTGAAACTAAACTGATATGGTGCGATCTCTTCTACTCCACTTAAGGGTTCCATGACTTTGTTAAGGATCAACATGGCCTGATACTGATATGGTGCGATCTCTTCTACTCCACTTAAGGGTTCCATGACTTTGTTAAGGATCAACATGGCCTGATACTGATATGGTGCGATCTCTTCTACTCCACTTAAGGGTTCCATGACTTTGTTAAGGATCATGGCCCGATATAGGATCAGCTCTAATCTTATTTTGATGAGATAATTAACTAATATTTATCGAGTCTTAATCGCTAACATAAAATTCTTAAATATAGGTTAATAGAAACAGACACATTTATCTTTATAAGTGCAATTAAATTGTTCTTACCTCTAATGTGAAACTAAGTTAGGGTATCCGCTAAGTAGGATTCGACAATAGACTTGAGTTAATGATTTGAAAGCTTTCTTTTTTCAATCTCAATCTTGATTGACGCAGAAATTATGAAATAGGTGAAATCGGAAAGATCCGAATTCCCATGAGCACGAACATCGCTTAATTTGATTTCTTAGTTTAGATAGCGTATGAATAGGTTCGATAAAACACTCTTATATAGTTAGATAGTTAGTACATATGCTCAATCTAAAAATAAAAAAAAAGACAAAAGAAGTATGATGCTTTGTCAAACCCATTTTCCATTTTATGTTTAAATGTAGATTATATAGAAATAATAGGAATAAATTAAAAATTCAACCATAAGCTATCGTGAAATTGGTCTTTCTCAAAAATTCTTTTGTTCCGAACAAAGGTAATCTAACAAGATAAACTTAATCGGGTGGGACATAGTATCCACAAGAAGGATCAGAGATTAGGTATCCATGACGTAAGTCTTGTGAGGAAACCTGTATATGCCAAAAGAATTTCGCTCTTGCTTAATAATGATAATATTTTATGGGTCAACAATCTAAAACCTAAATATGACAATCTATATATACCCTAACACAAACACTAAGATACTTTTGTGGAATTGAAGAAACATATATAACAACCTACATGGTGGATGGTTCCTCCACTAATACTGCTAACCATCCTTGGTTTGACAATGTCCCTATTAACATGTGGCCTACATTTGTAAATGTTGAAATGATAGAAAACCTTCCAAAAGCTTATAACTAATAGATGTTGGAATCTTACCTTTGTTATCTTTTTTGCTTCCATCCCCTTTGCTGGATAGGAGTTTTTTTGCATCGATATTTTCAACAGCGACAGTGACGATCGTTGGATATCACTTGTTGAGACGAGTCCTGTCAGAAAATGGTAACTGTTTCAGTAAGAAAGTATTATTGTAGTTGAATGTTTATCCCAAAATAAATAATAATAATAATAATAGTTTACACCGCCTTTCTGACCACATTGCTAAAATTATGCATTCACAGGTCCTATTATGCCCACCCAGCGTGCGAGTGTGTTGAAAAGTCTCCTACCACCATCATTATGCTTGCTTGTTATGAAACATGGTCGGAGATCAATTTTAAGTGGATTTTAGTGAGTTTAAAAGCTGAAAGTAAGGGGCATAATTGGAGGTACAGAATGGTAAGATAAATAGGAATAATTGTCACTATCGTAACCATTTACATGCTTTATTCAGAAAAATAATGCCAACCACTCTTGACGACTTGCTAGGAGTGATGGTTCATTTTCTTCTACCGCTAGCGACTGCTTGTACAGGCTACAACGTGCAATTCCCAGATCCGGCGGAGGGCAGGGCCATCTTGGCTGCCTTGGACAAGGCAAAACATCATGGAGGTTGGAGGAACATATTGGTTTGTGCAGATTATATGCGATGGATCAGTTTTGTCAATGATCGCAGTAAGGTGCTTTGGCACCTTTGCAATCTGTTGTACAGGGGGATAATAGTAAGGCTGACCAAAGAGATCAACATAGTTAACTTCCAACGTATACATACACCGAGTCTATAATAATTCAATAATTATTTGACTATAATATTAATTTGAAGTCAATCGAGGTTCTCCTCCATGTCCAAATTAAATTCTAGTAAACTATGTCGGAGAATTTTCGATAAAATTTTTTCGATACTTGAGTTAACTTTCTGATTCGGATGATTCAAGAACGAGTGCAAATGGACTAACAGAGTTCAATCTCGAAGAACGGTAAAATACTGATGTCCTCATTGTTTTTTAATGACTTGAAGCCCGTCATTCTTTTTATACTCTCATCTTCAACTTATTATAAGAGTCAAACTATAAAGTAACTCTGGACACTCCTCCTATACTCCATATCTATTTCATAATGAAGTTTTTGTCAATGGAAACTTTAGTCTCCGTTAAGCATGTTCTTTTCGAGAATGATAAACAACGTTGCTAATTGATTGACAAACTTTGTTAAGACCGGTAGGAGTGATTCCGATTGGAAATAGTTTTGACCTTAATCTACCGTTAACCTTGAATTTTCTGGATTTTCTTGTACTCATTCTGTGAGTAATACATAAGTTTTATCTTTTTGGGAGAACACACAAAAAAAAAAAGGCAGAACCTACTTGCACCTTTGTTCTTTTTCTCAGCAGACTCACTCTCTTACTATGGCCATCAAATCTGTGCTTATTTCAAAATAATAATATTAATAAGGTATTTTAGAAAAAAAGGATAAATTCTCTGAAAAAATTTCTTGTAGAGTGCTTCCGTTTTCTAAAATTTCCATAGAGTATTTTTCGTAAATGATAATGTTGTCCTTGTGCTTTCATCCCTGATTGCCGACACCTCCACCTAGATAGGTTCCTAATTGCCTCCATCGTTGGTCACATATGTCGTGGGCAAAGACGACGAGGGTGAGGCATCGTTGGTCACTTGTGCCTTCGTCACTGAGGCACACAAGACCAGGTCCAATAGGGACCAACGAGGTTTGTAGAGGGAGGGAGAGGCGAGTTCGATGGAGGCACGCAAGAGCGGGACTATTGGTGGTTGAGGGATATGTAAAAGTCGAGGTAAGTCCTCTAACAGCTAGCAAAGACCACATAGGCAAGAATGGGTCCAACATGATAGAGGAGAGGGGATGTTGGGCCACGATGCTAGTTGCTTGTGGTACGGGTGAGGATGGTGAGAGCTAGGCATACAGAGTCGATATAGTGGGAACCAAGGGAGTTCACGGAGACAAAGGCAAGTTTGATAAAAGCTAACGAGGAGGGGATGTAGAGCAATGATACTAACTACCTATACCATGGGGGAAGACAATAAGAACTAAGCACATAGGAGCGATTTGACGGAGCGATGATGGATCCAAAGAAGACAAGAGAAAATGATCTTTTCATGCAAGGAGCCCAATGTGAAAACTTTAAAAAATGGAACACTATTTTTCTAAAAAAAATTTTAATACGTGAGGTTTTTTCTGAGAATTTGTTAAAAATATAATTTGAAAACAGGTACATGAAAGAAAACAGAAGGGAAATAGGATAAAGCTGATGGAGGGGAAGGCATGCATGCATGCGTCAGATGGAAGCAGGGCCACCTGCGCCAGTACTTGTGCCCAACATCTACTGATATCAATCTTATTTGTTGGTTTTGTGTGTAATCTGGGTGGGATCCCACACATGCTCACTGGAATTCTCGTTGTCTCAGACCACCATTCTCCTCTGCTACTAATTAGCTTCCTTTTCTCTCTCTCTCTCATCCCACTGCCAAAGTGCCAATCTCCATCTGCCCAACCTAAGCCATTTCCATCATTGATTAATATATGTGTAGTAGACTTTATACCGCCTTCCTTTCATTTCATTTCTCCTCTCTCGCGCACACACACACACACACAACACAAAGAGCATACTCCTTGCTTTCTCCTGTCCCACTGCCAAATTACCAAACTCCGCCTGCACAACCAAAGTAATTTCCATGATTGATTTATATGTGTAGTTGGCTTCACTGCCTGTCTCCATTTCATTTCCTCCTAAGTGTGAGAGAGAGAGAGAAAGAAGGAGAGGGATTGATGCTCCTCTACTTGCTTTCTGCTCTCCCGACTGCCAAAGTGCCAATCTCTATCTGCACAACCAAAGCAATGATCATAACTGATTGATAAGTGTGTAGTAGCCTTCACTGCCTACCATCATTTCCCTTCCCAAGAGGGGGGGAGAGAGAGAGAGAGAGAGAGAGAGAGAGAGTCATTTATGCTCCTCTGTTTGCTTTCGTTCTCTTCCCACTGAGTCTGCTACCTTCATTTCCCTTTACCCGGAGAGAGAGAGAGAGAGAGAGAGATGTTGGCCTTTCACACATCTCTTCTTGACTCATGACTTTGACTCTGTGAGCAAAAAGGACTAAGAGAGGTGTCTCCTCCGCCTCACTGTACTTGCCAAGCACCTTCCTCTACTAGGCAGGAGAAGGTGAAGAGGAGGAAGATGAAGACCATGAAATTTCTCCTTCTCAAAGCCCTCTCCTTATCTCTTTCAGACTCCTTTTCCTTCAGTCTATAGGTGGATAGATTCCAGCAGTCCTGCTTCAGTCCTCCACCATTCCATTGATAGCTCTCTTTTGCTCTGTCCACAGAAACGTATAGATAGTCCAAAGATCACAACTTTTGTGCTCCATCCAAACCCCTCTCTTATTCTCTGTCCCTGTCCCTGAACCCTGGTAAAACCCTAGAGTCCAAAACCATCTTTTTCCCGGAGAAACCAGTTTCTGCCGTCTATTTCCCACTCGGGGCCTCTTCTTGACAGCTAAACCCTAGAGATTCTGCTCGACTCAGCCATAAGGGGAACAGGGGGAAGAAGAAAGATCCTTCTTTTATGAGCATTCTTCTCTGTCAATGAGTTGGATCGGTCTCGATGTTCTCGGGGTGCTCGGTCTCGAGTCTGGCGGCGAGGTTCGCCTTCTTCCCGCCCGACCCACCGACTTACAGCGTCAAGAAGGACGACGGCGGGCGGCTGGCGGCATCTGGCGTCCCAAGGGACCACTCCATGGATGTCCTGGTGCTGGACACCAAGAACGGGAACAAGATTGTTGCGTTTTATTTGAAGAACCCCTGTGCCAGGCTCACAGTGCTCTACTCACATGGCAATGCTGCAGATCTGGGACGACTCTATGATCTCTTCGTGCAGCTTAAGGTCAACCTCAGGGTTAATCTGATGGGGTTAGTGGATTGTGTCGTCTATCACCAACGTTTATTTTGTTCCCTCTTGAATCAAATTTCCCTTGTTTTCTGCATTTGTTTTACTGTATCTGATATTTATTCTTTTAGATTGTCCTCTTCTTTGGGGACCCCAGAGAGCCAATGTATTGGTTATTCGGTGTTTCTTTTATGTTTTTCTTTTTGGCCACTGATTGCTACTGTATATGCAAGTATACACTGTCTGGAATAAGTTACTGTGTAGGGTTTTAGCCTAAAACTGTTCTTCAGATTCTTTGTCCTGTGAATTTCCATTTGTTTTATACACTGACTTCATAGTGCATTTTCTTTCATTTTCTTTTTCATGATGATCTTGGTAACTGAATGTATAGCTTTCTTCAACTCATTTCAAGTTGAGTATTACTGATCTCATTAAAGTCTGTATGCATTTTGTTATAGGTCAGAGAGATCTGTGATATATATATATATATATATATATATATATATATATAT